TAAAATATATACAATCAAATGGGAATGGGAGACTTCCCCATTCACAAGCAAGTGAGAGTGGATGAAGGCAATCCTCATGACTCGCTACCAGTCAGCACCACTGCCAACTAAACCTTTTACAATAGTTTAAAATAAACCAAGAAAATCAATGCTATCTACAGCATTGATAAATGTTAAGTTCTCATTATACAGTACAGTACAGTCCTGGGGTATTTATAGCTGAGAAGTGAGTACTCTACTGTATTGTTTAGGAAACCATAAAAAGGTGGAAAAACTTAATTTGAAGATCTCTAAAACACCTTACTGCCTTTCCCATTGTAAATTAACAAAGCTTATCGCAAGTTATTCATTGAACAGATCATGGGCTAACTGTGGTGTGTAATTGTCTCTCTTACTCACTCATATATACACACACATATATATATATACATATATATATATATATATATATATATATATATATATATATATATATATATATATATATATATATATATATATATATATATATTTATACAAGAGTTTTTACATTCTTGTAAAGCCATTAGCACGCATAGTATTTTGGGCAGGTTCTTAATCTTCATTTTCCCCAGAAGAGCCGCCAAATCATTTAACAACCAGATGCCTATTCACTGCTAGGTGAACAGATACCACAGTTAAGGATTAGTGCCCAGTCAATCCTCCCTGGCCAGGATAGGAACCCAGGTCAAAGTGCTCGTAAAGCGTCGGGCAGGTGTTTTACCATGGGGACTTCAACTGTGCCACGTGAGGAATATATATATATATAAATAATATATATATATATATATATATATATATATATATATATATATATATATATATATATATATATATATATATATATATATATATATATATATATATATATAAATATATATATACATACACACAAACACACACCGTATTTGCCGGCGTATAAGATGTGCTTTTTTATTTTAAATGTAAAAATAAAATGACCTGCATCTAATGTGGCCGTATTACGACTGGGAGACCAAGTGCCATAGGCTAGAGAGACGGACAAGCATACTGGGCAAGTTTGCTAGACACAAATATCGTTGCTAATAATAAAATATTGAAAATAAACCAATAAGTCTGTTATCACAAACTTACGAAAAATTGCTAATGATAGGTCGGCAGTTATGAAGGAAGCTCACATTGGCTCAGTTCCTTACCCAGCATATATAACCTACGCCTGCTATATGTCATACATTATTTAATGACTGTGTTACCTTTAAGAAACATTTATTCATTATCTAAATGAAAAATGCTCCTAAAAATTTGAAAGGTATGTTAGACTTTCATCTGCCTGTCAGTCATCTGTAATGAGTGAATGACAACAAAACCAGAGTGCAGCGATGGTGCGCCACCACCGTGAGTGCTGCCCTGGTGGCCTGATGCAGCAACACATCCAGAAAATTGAGGAGGTAAGAGTTGGGGTTGAAAAACCACTTTAAAATATCTTTCAATAAATGTATGATGAAACATACTAAAATAGCTTTTTCCACAAAATATCCTTGTAAAATAGGGTTGCAGCTTACGTGAGAATGTGTCTTTTACGCTGGCAAATATGGTAAGTATGTATGTACAGCATATGTATGTATGTATGTATGTATGTATGTATGTATGTATGTATGTATGTATGTATGTATGTATGTATGTATGTATGTATGTATGCATGCATGCATGCATATATATATATATGAATGACAGTGTCAGACCACGAAGGAAGGATTGTGTTAATTTCTTTGTGATTTACACACACACACAGACCGTATATAGGTAGATATATATATTTAGTTGAAAACGACAGGTTTTAAATTTATGATTCTGGCACGAATCTTCTCGATATTCCTTGTTTTTCTTCACTGAAGCAGGAAGTTGAAAAATTATCTCTTCAAAGTTCATTTTTACTTTTAATTTGGGTCTGATGCCTAGTGATGCATTTTGTAAGGTTTCTCCTCATATTCTCAAAGACAAATTCTACTGTGCTTAGCACCTGGTTATATTCTTTTATGGTGAGGTGGTTAGGTGACATATGGATGAACGATATTACATGGGGCGATATTAATAAGTTATTAAATATATCAACATAGAGTGTGACATGCTGGTAGCTTATGTTCTTCTGGCTACTTCCATTCCTGTTACAGGGTCATTCGGTCCAGCTTCTGCGTTGGCCCAGTGTCTTGAAGTGAGTAGAGTGTAATTGTGTATTAGCTGGTTATTGATTGAATATTGATTTCAATAAATATTGATTGAATATTGAATCAATGATTAAATATTGAATTAATCAATAACCAGCTAATACACAATTACATTCTACCCACCTTAAAACCCCGGGCCAACGCAGAAGCTGGACCGAATGACCCTGCAACAGGAATTGAAGTAACCAGAAGAACATAAGTTGCTAACATGTCACACTCTTATGTTGATACTGTACATTTAATACCTTATTAATATCGCCCCATGTAATATCGTTCATCCATATGTCACCTAACCACCTCACCATAAAAGAATATAACCAGGCGCTAAGCACATTAGAATTTGTCTTTGAGAATGTGAGGAGAGCCCTTACAAAATGCATCACTAGGCATCAGACCCAAATTAAAAGTAAAAATAAACTTTGAAGAGTTAATTTTTCAACTTCCTGCTTCAGTGAAGAAAAATATAAGGAATATCGAGAAGATTCGTGCCAGAATCATGAATTAAAATCTTTCTGTCGTTTTCAACGCAATATGTTTAAAAGAAAGACTGCTACCAAAATATACTAATACACTATATACAGTATGTATATATGTATGTATGTGTGTATATATATATATATATATATATATATATATACACATTGCAAAGTATTTTTAATTGCAATCTGCTATGTATAATTATTTTGTCTTAATACTGCATAACTTCACAAAAGCATTATGCTCTACTTATACCATAAAAATACTATCACAACTTAGCACAGGATCTACAAAATGGACATTATTTTTAACTGTTCACATATCAGGTTATATTCATATTTTGTCTTTTGTTAAACTTAATGTTAAGTGATAACATAATATGTCAAAATGATATTACAACAATAAATAGCAAGCACATATTTCAATTACTATATCAGGTGATTGTGGAAACACATGCATGGAAGTTCTCTTTCCCTTATGGTGAAAGTCAGACTGATGGAGAACTCTCCAGTCTTTGTTCATAACCTTAATGGTTGTTAGTAAGTTTGACTATAATAATTGTTCATTCATATTAATTTTAAATGACTTACAAGGTTATATGAATTTTGTCAGAGATGTCTCATGTTATTCAGCTGCCCAGAGAATGACGGGCAGAACAACGTTGTAACATCAATGAATGATGGGCAGAACAACGCTGTAACATCAGTGAACAATGGGCAGAACAATGTTCTAACATAAATAAGGAAAGCAGAGTGAACAACAGTACATTAAGAGCAACATATGTATTGCACCTCTCTCTAAATTCAAAACCAGGAGCCAAATTTGTTTAACAAATTTAAAAAGTTACACACAATATAAATAAACATTAGTAATTCGATGATAAATAAGTATTAAATAAATATGTATTGTCAGATGTAATCCTTAATGGAAACTTTATGATAAAGTCCAAGTCTTAATTAATCCTCAGTTCTCCTGGTTTGAAGGAACATAAATAATAATTTGTCTGTACAAGCAGTGAACATACACATCATCAAACTGAAAATGGCATGGCTGGCTGGCTGGCTGTAAAAGTAAAATGTCTTAGAATAATTTAGTAGTGATTACCTATTTGTGGTTTTACTTAACAGAGCTGCAGCTCATGATGTCCCAAATTCAACTGTACATTAATCACATTTACCAAGTTCTCTATGCCTTTCAGACCATACTACCACATCCAGCAGTTCTCTTTGACAAGAAACACTTTTTCACATCTCTGTAGCACTTGTCTTTACTATCATAAATGTATGACCTCTGATTCTACATAAAGCTACAGTATGGAAATCTTCCTTATGCATCTTTTGACTTCCTTTGATGCATTAGAAAGTAGCCATGTATATATATGTGCTTTCCTATTATATTTCATTCACCTATGGTGCAGGTGAATAAAATAACATCTCATCCACCTGCACTATCGGACCCTTGAACTCACGACTACCAGAGTAGAAGACAGGAGTTCTACCGACCACCTAACGACGAATACCCACAATAAGAGAGGGTCCCAGACACATACAACTCATATCCAATTGGAACTTTCAACCTTTCCTGGGTGTATCATTTGAGTCTGGTGGTATTAGGTGATCCACTGGCCAGTTATATAAATTGCACACCAAAATAAACATGGAAATAATATTTCATTCACCTGCACCATTGGAATAAATGAAATGCTATTTCCATGTTTATTGTGGTTTGCAATTTATATGAATGGCACATGAATCACCTAATATCACCAGACTCAAGTGATACCCCAGAAGAGGTTGAAAGTCTCCGTTGGATACAAGTTGTGTGTTTTTGGTACGCTCTCTTATTGTGGGTATTTGTACTTAGGTTGGTAGAGCCCCTGTCTTCCCCTCTAGTGGTCATGAGTTTGAGGCTCTAATGATACAGCTGAATGAAATATATACAGTATATTATATATATATATATATATATATATATATATATATATATATATATATATATATATATATATAATTTATATATTTTCTAATCATAAGGGTCTGGTTAATTTATTCTATTCTTACAACAGCCATGCCATTCCTCAGTCATGTGTTTTACAACTGCACTTGTGACTAGATCAGCCAACACAAGCCTTCAAAATGTTTTCAAAGGCTCAGTCTTTATTCAAGTATCAGAAATGTAAGTTTTGTATTAAACCCAACCGCACCAGCTTTGCACCTAGATGCCAGTGGCCTCCGCAAAGCTGGTCATGCCTTACTAAGACTGAAAGTTAGCTGATTCTGTCACAACTTATGACTTTATCACCTTAATTGTTATCCCTTCGTCCTCTTCATCCTCTTCTGCCATCATGCTCAGCCTCTTTTTCTCATCTTCATTTAGAGCATCCCTCTTGTTACCACGTTTCTTAGTGCTGTGGGAGACACCACCAATAAGTCTCACTTATATGCCAAGTAAACTGATTAAAAATATCCAACATTTCTGTCTTGTAAGTACTTTTTCAAATTAAGTCATGAATTATGATTGACAGGTGAGGGTAGAGGTTACACATGATTTGTATACAGGCATCTTTAACATTTACAACAGCAGTTAAGGGTTGCATATCTTTATGCAATTTAGTATCACACAAAAAAATGATAAGAATTATTGAGTTAACTGAAAATTAAGAATACACAAAGAATTAGAAACTCACCAACAAGAAGGAAATTTAATAGCAGTTTAATTTTATATACTGTACAAAGGGCACTTTAATATTAGAGCCATATTTTATATATCAACAATGAAACTACGGTATGAGCTATAGCAATCTTATATATTCTCTTTTCTATTTTCATGTGAGTTTACAAATAAAAAAAAATAAAGTTTACTATGAAATGATCTCAACAAAGAATAATCATGCAAATTTCACTTATTACACATATCAAATATTGGCAAACAAAAAGATTGTAAAAAAAAAAAAAAAAAAAAAGAGAGAGAGAGAAACAAGAGGTGTTCCAGCACTGGCAGGTCAACATAGAAGCTTTCATAGTACAATAATGGGAAACTGTTTACTGATTGTATGTAATTTTGTTTTTATTGTAATGAAAGTTTGGTACCAAGATGTGAATTGTGCAATCATGTCTATTTTACTCTTTAATCCCTATTAATAGTACTGTACTTGCTTACATTATTATACCTTAGGAGTCAGCACACTTTTACAATAACTAAAGAAAATAAATAAAATGACAACTTAACACTAAGAAATTTAAAGGCAAATTCTTGTTGGAAATATCAGAACATTGTGTACAACTCTTTCTCAAGTGTGAGCAGTGTTGTTAATGGTGTTAAAGAGAGAACACTTAGAAACATTCTCTCTCAGAAATGATTATTCAAGACTACACAAAGCAAACATAACATACAAAATTAGGGAACATCAAGAAAGCAAATATACCCATAATAATACAAATTAAGCATCAACAAAGCAAACAAATACATGCAAAACACATTCTATTCAATTTATGAGCCATACATCAAGTAGTGGCTCACAGGCCAGGTATGCATGCACAAGTACCAGGCTGTGGTTAGTGATTTACTGTTCAAGACTGGTTTGTAAATATAGTAACAATCCAGCATAATTAGCAGAATGTGTGATACCAGCAACACGAATCCAACATTATATATTAATTCCGTATTTTGCCGAATGCACGTGATGGTAATACCACATTTCTCCTAATTTTAGAACAAAAGTAAAAGATTTATAAGAGTTTAAAAGGGTCATATTTAATGCTTACCTGTATCAGTAGATCACCTGTATATTTGCTGATAGGTGCTCTTTCCTTCTGAGATCTAATACCTGATCATGTTCTCAATAGTATCTCTACAACAAGATTCAAACTCCCCTTGAACATGATAAGTAATTCTGGTTTCCTAGGTAAGCACCAAGTGAGTTCATTACGATCCATTAAGTGCTCCAATAAAATCAAAGTTTTTGACTAAGCAATTTTTAGGCATTAATTTAAATAAATTGTATATAACCTCTCAATGTTTATTAGAAGTTGTATTGTATATATTTACATAAAAACTGTATAAAACTAAATGCATGATAAGCTGGTTTCATCAGTCATGAATTACCCAGAAACTATCACAATACTGAACTCTATATGTGCAGTTTATGATAATTTTGTGCAAATCCGAAGTTATATAATAGACACCACTTAGAAGACTTTCCCAGCATGTTTTGCCTCATCTCAAGGCTTCAGTCAGCCTAGTGCTAGTTGAAAAAGAGCTTAAGACATAGTACAGTATAACCTGTGGGTAAAAGTCTTCATATATAATTTTAACCTGAATGTTCCCCCAAGATCACCTATACAGTCGAGCATCTAATATCCAAAGATCCAAAATTAATAATACTGTATACCCAAAATCTGAAAGGATTTAACAATATTATATTTAATACTTATGAAAATATGAACAAAATTCCATAAACTTCAAAACTTTTTTTTATTACAATGACCAAAAAGTTTAAAATTAAAAAAATATTGCACTCATCTTTTCCCCTCCTGTGCATACTCCACATAATTGACTTCTTGCTAAATAAAAATAGATTTACTGATGATTTGTGACACGTTTATATATATATAGCAAAAAATTGCAAATAAATAAAGTTAAATAATAAACATTTAACATATAATTATATTACAAACTTATGCCAACATGGAGGGAAACAGGTCTGTACAATCTGAAAACAATATCCCAAAGGGTTCACAACCGATGATTTCAAATTTTACATACTCGACTGTAACTGGAATTCACTACAAACTGATTCTTAGGAATCCGACTGGCTGCCAAGAACCTAGGTTGTCCTAATGCAGTGTAAAAGTTGTTACTTGATAAAATACCTATGCCTTAGCCCCAAGTGTAAGGGATTAGTATATCCATACAATTGAGAAACAATTCCAGTACTTCAAGCAAGTATATCGGAGGCTGAGAATGTATGATATCGCTTACTCACATACTGAGAATCAATTCTTAGTGACCTGTGCATGTGGTACCTGACATCTGTTGAGAGTAGTGTTCATTCCAAACATAACTGAGGAGAATTTCTTCTCATATCCCTTCCCAACATTAAATGTATATATAAATATTTTTTAAACGTATACTATCTCTGGTTGTATTAGTTCAGACCCTTTGCCTCATATAAGAAAATATATAACACTTGGTGTAGCCTTGTGAGGCTCCCACATATGCACTTGTATGGTCCATTTCTCTGTACTTATGGAGCTTGGCTGAGTGCCTACATGTGGCAGTGTCATCTGCATGGCCAATAATAAATTCCATGTAGGTATCAATCAAGGATAATACACGTGTAGTTCTGCACTAATCGCCTACCATTCTTCAAAGTGGGGTGCATTATAGTTCCATCAGGGAAGCCAGTGAGATGGCAGAAATGTGGAACATTAGGAAACCAGGCTCTTTTTCTCTTCTGGACACCCAGCTGTGGTAAAGTTACTCTTGATAATGTCACTGCCTTCACTGCGCATTGAGTGCCAGCCCCATGTGCTTTGGCGTCAGGCCATGCTGGCTGCATTTGTCTGCCTCTGCCTTCCTGCAAATACTTTACACTTATATACATTGTGGACTGGTGTAGCGAGGAGGAGAGCCACTGCAATTCAGAGGGTTTGCAGTTTGAGACACGTGCCTTTTGCAGAAATGGGGTATACTAATGGACAATCACTTGCACGGGGAGCCATCACTGCTATGAGATGAATAATCTCACATTATGTTGGTGCAATATTAAGACATATAGTAGCTGCTCCATCTATGATGTGGCTGTCCAAGCTGGATTGCCTGTGGGTTTTAGATGTGGCTGGTTGGAGTGCTGGCCTTGGAGATGAGATTAATTGACATTCAGGGAATACCATGAAGTTTTTAATTTTTTTTTTTTTGCTTTCGTCTACCAAAGAGTCTTGCATTCTCTTTCTTGAAACTATAGTCTAAATGGATTTCATAGGGTTCAGCTGAGCACCAGCAGGAATCAAGGAATTACTGAAGGCCTCCTTTTTCTTGACTAGTGGTGGAAATGAACAAATCCACATGGGCCGTGACGAGGATTCGAACCTGCGTCGGAGAGCATCCCAGACACTGCCTTAATCGACTGAGCTACGATATGGTCAAAAGGAGTTGAAACTGAAGTTCTACTGAACTTACTGGATCCTGCAGCCTCTCCGAGGCACAAACCAGGGTTTTACACAACTCCCCCCCATGCACTCGAGCTATATCAATAGATCGTTCTCCCTCTTCACCCTTACTTCATTGCACACAGAAATCACAATTGCATGATGCATCAAATGAACATCCTTTTGGATTGTCAAATGAATCCTTGTCACATGAACAAATCCTTGTGGATTTGTTCATTTGATGCATCACGCAATTGTGATTTCTGTATGTAGTGGCGGAAATGTTGGGGGACTGTCAGACTTTGTGCAGTCAAGAGATTAGCAAGAGTTGTGAAAACATGGCCAAAATCCCCATCCATCCAGACCTCCATATAAAACAACCTTGAATAATGAACCTAATCTGCCCACTGTATCTCTCCTACAAAATTTGAAGGTGTAGGAAAAAATTCTGATTTTGGAAAGGGTTGTCATGAAATCTGGAACATTAAAGTAATTTCCACCACACCACATTTTTCAAAATTTTGGCTATTTTTTTTTTCATTGTGGTCACCAATGTGACCATTGATGGTCAGAGATTAGGTCAGGGGAAGTGCCATAAATAACATTCTTAAAATGGTTATGATATTAATCTCCTTAATTATTAATTCCAATAGGGGTTCATGGCCTTACCTTTGAATACCAATTAATAGCAAGAACTGGGGAATGGGAAATACTGGGGATAAAGTTGAAATCTCTTTGCAATCAGTGTTTCCTGCTAGATAATCATCATATGAGGAGTTGAAATTCACTCATTGAATGTGAGAAAAATACAATATGAACAGTAACTCTGTTGCCTATGTTGGATTCCAATACTGTTGGAATCCATTAACCATATTAAAAATAAAACTATATGGTATATGTTCATTTTGAGTTTGTGTTCATGCAAAAATGTGACATTACTTTTGACAAATAAGGTTTAGAGGCTGGGGCATGAGAAATAATCCAGAGGTGAAATCAACTTTACAGATAAGTTCTCCTCATAGATATCTATCATGTTGAAATTAAAAGTGAACTGGATCGTCAATACAATTTTATCCCCAATGCTTTGGAGACTATTGACACTTGGGGTGAAAAGTCCAAAGAGCTCTTTGCAGTACAGTATCTGGGTTCTAGGTTAATCAAAATAACAAGAGAGCCAAAAGCTGCCAGCTACCTTTTCCAGTGTTTGAATAAGTGTGACAATACTGAAAAAAATCATAGATCTTGCCCAGAATTCAAG